AACTTTGAAAATTAAAAACCCACTCTACACCTTTCGAAAAATTCCAAAACCCTCCAGATATCAACTAATATATCCTAAGTTTCAAACCCAATTGGTTTTACTTGATTTTCTTATCAAAATAATTATTTATAATTAATTATGCCCAAACAGGTTGTTTTCTGCAGCACTTTAAATAAATTAATGGTTCTCTTAGTATACAAGAGAAATCAATGCAAGGCCAAAAATCTAAGAAACTAGACTCGTAACCGGTTCTAATGACGCTAATTTGATAATTTTCGGATTTATAACCAATGAGAACAACACTCCCGAATTTACTGTTTTAAACTAGTTTTTTGGACAGATTTGAACGCATTAGTTTATATGGATTTTGACTCCCAAAAATTATGAAAAAATTCAGATATGTAATTCAATATGTAATTAATCTACTGTAAAAATTTCAGTTCAAAATTCATCCGTTTGTATGGTTTTTTGATTTTTAAAGTTTGTGGTTCTGTGCAGAATTTTTTTGGACCAAGAATTACATCCATTCTTTATAGATAAATTTAACTCCTCAAATTTATTAACAGTATATATATATACAAAAATTACATACACCTACAACCTCCCCATCAATGAATTAAATCATAATAGAGTAAAGATAAAGAACAAAGAAAGAAGAGAACAAAACCTAGGAGGGCTAACCTTTGATGATCACACACAACACAACATACCCAAAAGTTCTTTGATTGCAATATCATCTTCTTTTTTTCCTTCTCTCAAACCCTCTCCTGTGGCTGCTGTGTTGTTACCCTATGTAGTGAACAAATAATAGAGTAGGGTTTGTGTTTATTTTATTTTATACTAGTACACATAGGTCAAATAAATAGATAAATATACAAAACATATATATAAGTTATATGCAACTCAAATAGTAAGAGTCATACATATTAACATTGTGGTCTAGAGTTCAAGTCACACCCTTCTCTCTCTATATTTTTTTTTTATAATAAATCTTGCCTCTAAATTAAATACTTTCACCATAAATTTATTTTAGGTTTTAAAATTAATTAAAAGAACTTCCAAATATTTAATTTACACTTTAGGATTCACCACCAAAATATTTGAGATTGTAATATTATTATTATTTAATTATTTACTTAGTTTTTATATTCGGGTTCTCACAGCCATCTTTCATGTGGGGGGATTGGATTCCCAACAACCCCTCAAACCCATGCAATTCGGCATGCCAGGCAAACTCGTCTTCCATTGGCTATCCAATTTGAAAACCTTCAACTATGCCGGTGCTTTCCTTGCAATGCACTTATTCCAGTTGAAAAATTGGAGGAAAGTGGTGAACAAAAAGATTCGCTGTCAGATATTGTGAAACTGATAAAGGGGCAATCATTTCAAGGGGCCTCAGTGGATGTTGAGGATGTATATTTTGGGAGTGGCAGTGTTATAAGTGAGATAAAATTAGAAAACACCATTGTAACTAGTTTGGATGGAAAAAGTGGTTATGTGATCAAAGGCTTGGTTAATCTTGGTAATACTTGCTTCTTTAATTCAATCATGCAGAATCTCTTAGTAATGGAGAGATTACAGAATCACTTCTTGGAATTGGATGAGTCTGTAGGTCCTCTTACCATTTGTTTAAAGAAGCTCTTTATTGAAACTAGTCGAGAGGTTGGCTTGAGAAATGTGATAAATCCAACATCCTTTTTCGGGTGTGTTTGTGCCAAGGCTTCCCAATTTAGGGGGTATCAACACATAACAGTCATGAGTTGCTTCGTTGTTTACTTGATGGGTTGTGTACTGAAGAGTTGAGTGCAAGAAAACAGACGACTTCTCTGGAAAATGGGATTCCCTCAAATCTGGGTCCTACTTTTATTGATGCCATCTTTGGGGGCCAACTATCTAGTACTATTTCTTGTTTGGAATGTGGGCACTCCTCGACATTGTTTGAGCCATTTCTAGATCTCTCACTTCCAGTTCCAACTAAGAAACCACCATCTAAAAGGGCCCAACCTATTTCTCGAGCCAAGAAACCAAAGCTGCCTCCAAAACGATGGGGTAGGATTTGTCCAAAGCTTAATAGGGATGCAGATTCTGTAGCATCTGAAAGTGTTTCAGTTCCGTCAGCTGGTGGTTCATCTTCTTGCCAAGTAGAATCTGCTATGCCTGTCAAAGAAAGAGTAGGAGATGCTTTGGTCGATTCTACATTGTTTGAATCCGTTGGCCTTGGTACAGTGGCAGATAAAAAGAGTTCAGTTTCATCAAATCTCTTGACTGCTGAAGAGTTTGAAAAGCATACATTCCTCAAGAATGTCATGGATAAAATGGAGGCATCAGTTGACAATTTAGCGGAGGATGAAATCAAGGAAAAGCAGTAGAAAGCTACATCCAAGATTCAGGTAAGTGGGGTTGAGGATAGTATTCAAAGTGCTCCATCAAGTGCAACAAATATGATACAAAACTTTCCAAACGGTAAACACATAAATATAAGCACGTCTCTGAATTCAATGATGTACAAACCAGACTAAATAAGGTGACAAATATGATACAAAACTTTGCAAATGGTAAACACATAAATATAAGCACGCCTCTGAATTCAATGGTGCACAAACCAGACCAAATAAGCAAACAAATATGATACAAAACTTTCAAATGGTAAACACATAAATATAAGCACGCCTCTGAATTCAATGCTGCACATAACGGGATATTAGAGCGGAATAATCACGACTTTCAAATTAATGTGATAGAATTCTGACTAGAACTACATAATCTCTGAAAATATAAGAGCACAAACATAGATTTGTACTAAGTAGAAACTTATACAGAAAACAAATTTTGTAAAATAATAATCTGCAACAATATTATCAGATTCTAATAAACAAAATCATGAATAGCCAAAAATTATAGTTAAAGACAACATAATCAGAAATAGAATCTGACTTGCTTACTTGTTATAAAAAATACCACTAGTGTTCTGGTGCCAAAATTCAAACATGGCAGATGGGAGCTTGTTAGACTTTTCTCTAATTGAGGCTACTGGTCATACTGACCACTTGAAAATCTCTATATTCGTGTCTAATTAAGGATGTATTTGAATCTTATATTTCAGTATACGTTTTCAAAGAGAGACAAAAAAAAAATTTTAAGAAAAAAAAAAATTTTAGTTTATATTATTGTGAATATTTGTCTCTTGTTTTTTTCCCTCGTAAATCACTATTATATAATTCAAAATTTAAACACCAGTTAAAAATTGCGAGTCACCGTTGTTTTCTTCAATAATACTCATAAATTCTAATTGAACTCAGCTTACATCTAGTTAAGGGTGTAAAAATGACTTGTAGCCCGTAGGCAGTCTGTAACCCGCTCGCGGCTTGGGAGTGGACATGGCCCGAGCCCGAACCCAACCTGAGAGTCTGAGTTTGAACCATCATTTTGAAATCTGGCCCGGCCATTGAAATATTGTGTTTGGATATATATATATATATCTCTTGATTCATGTGGTGCGAATGTAGAATTGGAAAAGAAGAATGTTGAAAAGTAAATTCAATGGTCTTGTAATAATAGAAGTCGTAGTGGGTGAACATAAATAAATACACGGGTAAAGAAAACCTTTCATAAGAGACAAAAAATAAGATTTGTAATAATAGAAGTCTTAGTGGGTGAACATAAATAAATACAAGGGTTAAGAAAACCTTTCATAAGAGACAAAAATAAGATAAATTCAACAAATATATATATATATTGTTCATTCACCCTTTATATATATATATATAGATGTGGATGAATATGGCTAAACACAGTGTACAAAATATAATTTATCCTAAGATTACTTATTGTTATAATAGAGGGATATCTTGATTTTTTTTTTTTTTTTTAAAATAGAAAGGAGAGTAATTACATTATGAGAAATATGTACATTATCAAACAGACCACTAATCCATAATAGATAGAAAATCAACAAAATCTAACAATCAATCCATCAAGCCGAGCCCAACAATCATTATTAATCACATATAGCCCCCATTTTTTTTTATCAACATAAAATCCCATAATTTTTTTTTGGGGGGGGGGGGAATTAATGAAACACCACAAAGATATCAAACTCCTTTCCATAAAAGTCGAACCCAAAATTTTACACCATAAAAGTCCTACACAATCATTGAAATATTGTGTTTAGATAGATATCATTTTGATTATTACTATAAGAATTCTTTTTCTGTTCTGCATATCTATTACTATAAGAATAAGACCTCCATTTGGTTTTCTAAAACATTGAGACTAACGTTCTATCATTTTGATTATGACCATTAAGTCATGTTGAGTACGTATGCAACATCAATTAATTTTATTTAATGGATAATAATGTTTTTCAAAAAATACAGATTGTTAGTTTTCTCTTCCGGATTTTGTTGTATATGTATTCTGTTTTCAATACAGAATTTTATTCTATGTGTTAGGTTTTATTTCTTGGCATTCCCGTTTGACAAAAACCTAGGAGGGCTAACCTTTGATGATCACACACAACACAACACAACACACCCAAAAGTTCTTTGATTGCAATATCTTCTTCTTTTTTTCCTTCTCTCAAACCCTCTCCCGTGGCTGCTGTGTTGTTGCCCTATGTGGTGAACAAATAATAGAGTAGGGTTTGTGTTTATTTTATTTTATACTAGTGGTGGGCACACATAGGTCAAATAAATAGATAAATATACAAAACATATATATAAGTTATATGCAACTCAAATGGTAAGAGTCTTATATATTAATTTTGTGTTCTAGAGTTCAAGTCACACCCTCCTCTCTCTCTCTCTCTCTCTAGATATATATATATATATATATATATGTATATATTATAAATTTATTTTAGGTTTTAAAATTAATTAAAAGGCCTTCCAAATATTTAACTTACACTTTAGGATTCACCACCAAAATATTTGAGATTGTAATATTATTATTATTTAATTATTTACTTAATTTTTATATTCGGGTTCTCACAGCCATCTTTCATGTTGGGGGGGATTGGATTCCCAACAACCCCTCAAACCCATGCAATTCGGCATGCCAAGCAAACTCGTCTTCCATTGGCTATCCAATTTGAAAACCTTCAACTATGCCGGTGCTTTCCTTGCAATGCACTTATTCCAGTTGAAAAATTGGAGGAAAGTGGTGAACAAAAAGATTCGCTATCAGATATTGTGAAACTGATAAAGGAGCAATCATTTCAAGGGGCCTCAATGGATGTTGAGGATGTATATTTTGGGAGTGGCAGTGTTATAAGTGAGATAAAATCATAAAACACCATTGTAACTAGTTTGGATGGAAAAAGTGGTTATGTGATCAAAGGCTTGGTTAATCTTGGTAATACTTGCTTCTTTAATTTAATCATGCAGAATCTCTTAGTAATGGAGAGATTACAGAATCACTTCTTGGAATTGGATGAGTCTGTAGGTCCTCTTACCATTTGTTTAAAGAAGCTCTTTATTGAAACTAGTCGAGAGGCTGGCTTGAGAAATGTGATAAATCCAACATCCTTTTTTGGGTGTGTTTGTGCCAAGGCTTCCCAATTTAGGGGGTATCAACAGCATGACAGTCATGAGCTGCTTCGTTGTTTACTCGATGGGTTGTGTACTGAAGAGTTGAGTGCAAGAAAACAGACTATTTCTCTGGAAAATGGGATTCCCTCAAATCTGGGTCCTACTTTTATTGATGGCATCTTTGGGGGCCAACTATCCAGTATTGTTTCTTGTTTGGAATGCGGGCACTCTTTAACAGTGTTTGGGCCATGTCTAGATCTCTCACTTCCAGTTCCAACTAAGAAACCACCATCTAAAAGGGCCCAACCTATTTCTCGAGCCAAGAAACCAAAGCTGCCTCCAAAACGACGTGGAAGGATTCGTCCAAAGCTTAAAAGGGATGAAGATTCTGCAGCATCTGAAAGTGTTTCAGTTTCGTCAGCTGGTGGTTCATCTTCTTGCCAAGTAGAATCTGCTGTGCCTGTCGAAGAAAAAGTAGGAGATGCTTTGGTCGATTCTACACTGTTTGAATCCGTTGGCCCTGGTACAGTGGTAGATAAAAAGAGTTCAGTTTCATCAAATCTCTTGACTGCTGAAGAGTTTGAAAAGAATACATTCCTCAAGAATGTCATGGATAAAATAGAGGCATCAGTTGACAATTTAGCGAAGGATGAAATCAAGGAAAAGCTGTAGAAAGCTACATCCAAGATTCAGGTAAGTGGGGTTGAGGATAGTATTCAAAGTGCTCCATCAAGTGCAATGAATATGATACAAAACTTTCCAAACGGTAAACACATAAATATAAGCACGTCTCTGAATTCAATGCTGCACAAACCAGACCAAATAAGGTGACAAATATGATACAAAACTTTCCAAATGGTAAACACATAAATATAAGCACGCCTCTGAATTCAATGGTGCACAAACCAGACCAAACAAGCAAACAAATATGATACAAAACTTTCAAATGGTAAACACATAAATATAAGCACGTCTCTGAATTCAATGCTGCACATAACAGGATATTAGATCGGAATAATCACGACTTTCAAATTAATTTGATAGAATTCTGACTAGAACTACATAATACGAGAGTATTGTACTTAATGATAATCTCTGAAAATATAAGAGCACAAACATAGATTTGTACTAAGTAGAAACTTATACAGAAAACAAATTTTGTAAAATAATAATCTGCAACAATATTATCAGATTCTAATAAACAAAATCATGAATAACCAAAAATTATAGTTAAAGACAACATAATAAGAAATAGAATCTGACTTGCTTACTTGTTATAAAAAATACCACAAGTGTTCTGGTGCCAAAATTCAAACATGACAGATGGGAGCTTGTTAGACTTTTCTCTAATTGAGGCTGCTGGTCATACCAACCACTTGAAAATCTCTATATTCGTGTCTAATTAAGGATGTATTTGAATCTTATATTTCAGTATACGTTTTCAAAGAGAGACAAAAAAAAAAAAATTTAAAGAAAAAATAAAATTTTAGTTTATATTATTGTGAATATTTGTCTCTTGTTTTTTTCCCTCTTAAATCACTATTATATAATTCAAAATTTAAACACTAGTTAAAAATTGCGAGTCACCATTGTTTTCTTCAATAATACTCATAAATTCTAATTGAACTCAGCTTACATCTAGTTAAGGGTGTAAAAATGACTTGTAGCCTGTAGGGAGTTTGTAACCCGCCCGCGGCTTGGGAGTGGACATGGCCCGGTTAGGCCCGAGCCCGAACCCAACCCGAGAGTCTGAGTTTGAACCATCATTTTGAAATTCGGCCCGGCCATTGAAATATTGTGTTTGGAGATATATATATATATTGATTCATGTGGTGTGAATGCAGAATTGGAAAAGAAGAATGTTGAAAAGTAAATTCAATGGTCTTGTAATAATAGAAGTCGTAGTGGGTGAACATAAATAAATACGCGGGTAAAGAAAACCTTTCATAAGAGAAAAAAAATAAGATTTGTAATAATAGAAGTCTTAGTGGGTGAACATAAATAAATACAAGGGTAAAGAAAACCTTTCATAAGAGACAAAAATAAGATAAATTCAACAAATATATATATATATATATTGTTCATTCACCCTTTATATATATATATATATAGATGTGGATGAATATGGCTAAACACAGTGTACAAAATATAATTTATCCTAAGATTACTTATTGTTATAATAGAGAAATATCTTGATTTTTTTTTTATATAGAAAGGAGAGTAATTACATTATGAGAAATATGTACATTATCAAGCAGACCACTAATCCATAATAGATAGAAAATCAACAAAATCTAACAATCAATCCATCAAGCCGAGCCCAACAATCATTATTAATCACATATAGCCCCCATTTTTTTTTATCAACATACAATCTCATAATTTTTTTTTTGGGGGGGGGGGGAATTAATCAAACACCACAAAGATATCAAACTCCTTTCCATAAAAGTTGAACCCAAAATTTTACACCATAAAAGTCCTACACAATCATTGAAATATTGTGTTTAGATAGATATCATTTTGATTATTACTATAAGAATTCTTTTTCTGTTCTGCATATCTATTACTATAAGAATAAGACCTCCATTTGGTTTTCTAAAACATTGAGACTAACGTTCTATCATTTTGATTATGACCATTAAGTCATGTTGAGTACGTATGCAACATCAATTAATTTTATTTAATGGATAATAATGTTTTTCAAAAAATACAGATTGTTAGTTTTCTCTTCCGGATTTTGTTGTATATGTATTCTGTTTTCAATACAGAATTTTATTCTATGTGTTAGGTTTTATTTCTTGGCATTCCCGTTTGACAAAACTCCTTTGAGTTGTAATTTTATTCGCATTTTTATTTCAGTGAGACTTTGAGTGTTTAGATGCGAATCCAACCCGAATCAAGCCTTTTCAGAGAAGTTTGTGTTGATAAAGCTTTCAAGATTGCCTCTAGATTTTTCACTATGTTTTCTAGTTTGTTTGTTCGTCTGTTTTTGTTTTTGTTTTTTTTTACCAATAGAATTTTTATTCACTAGTTATTTTATTTTGTATATTATGTATTTAAAATATGATTTTACATGAATCTATGTTTGAGTTAGATTCTATTTCTTATTATGTTGTCTTTAACAATAATTTTTTATTATTCGTGATTTTGTTTATTAGAATCAGATATTATTGTTGCAGATTATTATTTTACGAAATTTGTTTTTTGTATAAGTTTTCTACTTAGTACAAATCTATGTTTGTGTTCTTTATATTTTCTGAGATTATCATTAAGTACGATACTCCTGTATTATGTAGTTCTAGTTAGAATTCTGTCACATTAATTTGAAAGTCGCGATTATTCCGATCTACTATTCCATTATGTGCAGCATTGAATTCAAAGACGTGCTTATATTTATGTGTTTACCATTTCAAAAGTTTTGTATCATATTTGTTGCCCTTGATGGAGCACTTTGAATACTATCTTCAACCCCACTTACCTGAATCTAGGATGTAGCTATCTACCGCTTTTTCCTTGATTTCATCCTTCGCTAAATTGTCAACTGAAGCCTCTGTTTTATCCATGACATTCTTGAGGAATGTATTCTTTGCAAACTCTTCAGCAGTCAAGAGATTTGATGAAGCTGAACTCTTTTTTTCTGCCACTGTACCAGGGCCAACGGATTCAAACATTGTAGAATCGACCAAAGCATCTCCTACTTTTTCTTTGACACGCACAGTAGATTCTATTTGGCAAGAAGATGAACCACCAGTTGACGGAACTAAAGCACTTTCAGATGCTACAGAATCTTCATCCCTACTAAGCTTTGGACGAATCCTTCCACGTCGTTTTGGAGGCAGCTTTGGTTTCTTGGCTCGAGAAATAGGTTGGGCCCTTTTAGATGGTGGTTTCTTAGTTGGAACTGGAAGTGAGAGATCTAGAAATGGCCCAAACACTGTTGAAGAGTGCCCGCATTCCAAACAAGAAACTGTACTGGATAGTTGGCCCCCAAAGATGCCATCAATAAAAGTAGGACCCAGATTTGAGGGAATCCCATTTTCCAGAGAAATAGTCGGTTTTCTTGCACTCAACTCTTCAGTACACAACCCATCGAGTAAACAATGAAGCAACTCATGACTGTCATGCTGTTGATACCCCCTAAATTGGGAAGCCTTGGCACAAACACACCTAAAAAAGGATGTTGGATTTATCACATTTCTCAAGCCAGCCTCTCGACTAGTTTCAATAAAGAGCTTCTTTAAACAAATGGTAAGAGGACCTACAGACTCATCCAATTCCAAGAAGTGATTCTGTAATCTCTCCATTACTAAGAGATTCTGCATGATTGAATTACAGAAGCAAGTATTACCAAGATTAATCAAGCCTTTGATCACATAACCACTTTTTCCATACTGACTATACAATGGTGTTTTCTGATTTTATCTCACTTATAATACTGCCACTCCCAAAATAAACATCCTTAACATCCACTAAACAGAGGCCCCTTGAAATGATTGCCCCTTCATCAGTTTCACAATATCTGACAGCGGATCTTTCTGTTCACCACTTTCCTCCAATTTTTTGACTGGAATAAGTGTATCACAAGGGAAGCACCAGCATAGTAGAAGGTTTTCAAATTGGATAACCAATGGATGATGAGTTTGCCTGGTATGCCGAACTGTATGGGTTGGAGGGGTTGTTGGGAATCCAATCCCCCCAAATTAGACTCAGGTGTCTTGTCCACAGAACGTCCCCCATTCTTCTTCACCTGCTTGCCCACCTATCAACCACACCTTCTCTGCAATCTTCACACCTAATATGTTCTATAGAACTTATTCTTGAAGAAATTTTAGCTAAATCAATACCCTTATGAAGAAGGGAACACACTTTCCTCTCTTTTACGACTGAAAGTCCATCATCAATGCTTGGAATGCTTTGCTGGGCGATAGTTTCAGTTTTCGCCATTAATTCCTAAAACCAATCCAGGAAAACTATAAACACCAAATACCCAAAAAGAAATAAAACCAAATCCATATCCCAATTGGATTGAGGGGTTTGACTATAAAAGAAAAGAAATGGTACGAAACAAAAATATTGTCACTTATTTGGATGAATGAGGAAAGGCAAAATGATGTGAAAGGAAGAAATTGAGAGAAAGTGAAGTCTTGTAAAACTCATGTTCTATTTTTCACCAAACTTGGTGCCATTTAGTGAGAAAGGTAAAAATTTTATAATACCTAAATTATCCATCTAAATTAAAAATTAAAAAAAGAAAAGAAAAAAGAACACCAATAGAGTCCTCTTTCTATCATGTTCATCCAAACATAATGTGAGAAACCGCCATTATTTCTTTTCCTCACTACCATAATCTTTTCCTTTCATTCCTTACCTAACTTGCCAAGAGGACTGTTAAGCAAACATTCTAATGATCAGGAAAAAACAAACAAAAAAAAAACCGTTCCCAAGCAATCGAATAAAAAATAAACAATAAACACTAAATAATTAATAATTTTAAAAAACACACTAACAATTATTAGTAAACCAAACCATTCCTAAAATCCCAATAGTCAATTAATTACAAACCAATCCCAATAGTCAATTAATTACAAACCAATCCCAATAGTCAATTAATTACAAACCAATCCCAATAGTCAATTAATTACAAACCAATCCCAATAGTCAATTAATTACAA